TTTTTTTTTTGATATTAGTCTTAGACAGAGTAGAACTGAAAAAGCGACTAACTGACCCCGGCCGGCCATCGCGACCTGGCGGTCCAGGTGGTCCTGGAGGACCAACTTGACAGCTACAGCAACTTCCTCCTGCCAAAGGTCCTACACCCTCATCAGCTCCAATGTCAATTTTATCCGCAGCGTATTGTCTTTTCGTTCTATTAGCTGCTGGTATAGTGACAACAAGTTTGAGCTGCATCATTTCCTTCCACATATCCATTGAGCGCGTCTAAATTTCAATTGGTTGTGTAAAAATGGGTTCATAAGAAAAATTGGACCAGAAAATGCATAAATTCTTGAAAAATCTCTAATTAAAAATTTTAAATTTTTTATGGGCTTTAAAGTACACTCTTCTCAACAACCACAGTTCACCTTGCAGAAGCCGGCTTCATTTTGCATAAAAGTCTGAACACTTTGGATATGGTTATAAACAAGAGGCAGTGTTATCACGCATGATAAAACGGATACTGTCGAGATGACCACTGAGACGAAAGCCACGGCCCGAAGTGAACGGGGACGTTTCCCCGACAAATCCCCTATCATTCCTTTAACACTTGAATAAGTTTTATTAGTTTTTTTTTTACTACTCACAATTGCAAAAATATTCAAATAGTGAACTTGACGTTGCTTGGATTAGGTCAATGATTATGCATCAGACGAAAAGTTCAGAAAGAAAAAGGCTGCTTGGGAGAAATGTTTGTTAAAGTGATTATTTAGGAAAAATTTTTTCTGTTCATGACCTTTGATTGGAATAAAATTGCATTAAAACTTGACATCAAATTACTTCAAAAACTGCAATAGCAAAATTATTACTTTAAGTTTGGAACTGAAATTCACTCTCGAAAATTTACCCACTTCAACATTTCTCGCATTAAGCATTTAATTGTTTAAAATAGAACAAAGCAAAAAGTAAAATGTACTCCAATCAACTTTTATACTTAAAAACCTAAACAGAGATAATTAAGGGTTATTTATCGGAACGAATAATACTCGGCAGCAAAATTTTGGTGAAGAACTCTTTATTAGGTGGCTTTATTTGAGCGGCAGAATAAATATGGTCTATATGGTCCATTTTGATGTCATTGGAATAGTGGCCGAATTGAACGCATCGCTCAGAAGTCAATGACCCAAATCGAAACGGATATCCGACCATAGTTTACTGCTTTCTGGTGATCACGAAAATTGGAGCAGTAATCCCGTTGATTACCGCCTGTCGTTCATTGAAAACTGTTGTGGGAATAATAATAACGGTTTTTTCTCATGCAGGTATCGCTTTTTATTATTAGCAATCATTCTAAAAAGTTACAACTTTCTAAGGAAAACTTACGATGATGCTAAAAACAATCACACTTTTTTTAGTTTTTTTAATACTTCAATTCACCAAATTTCTCATCTGCTGAAATACTAATCGAAAATAACTGCAGATCAGAAGTCGTCAAGAAGAAATTGTTAAATATTTTTCACTTTTGAAAGCATCAGTGTGCTAAAAGCCCTTCTGATAATGAAACATTTTTACAATGTTCTTTACCTTCTGCAAGTTGTCTTCTTTTTTTTGGGGTGAGCTGTCTGAGATAGTTGATAATCTGGACACATCTGTTGAAAAACCTGAAAATCATTCAAATCTGGCTTAGAAAAAAAAAACTGAATTATTTTTTATGTTTTCCATGTATAAAATCTGTATCCTTGGCATAACCGAGCAAAATTTGTTTTAGCTCATAATTGTTAAAAACTGCTCTTTATGGTTTGGTTAATGTAAACGAATCAACTGGCCTGAAAGCCGCAGCTTTAAAAAACCCGATGATCTTAAAATGTTACAGAAGTTTTTCTTTGCCGAATGAATGTAAAACTGCAGCTTTGTGAAGTGTTCTGCATCCACACAAGCTAAGATTTTAAAACTAAGAAGAAGAATATTTCTTCCTTTCAAGTCAGGTAGAAAAATGAATTTTATGCTTTTATTTCACTCTTTCCCCATTTTTGGTACCATCATTATAACGCCCAGTCTAATATAAATTTTTTTCTTTGCATCGATAATATAAATAACGTAGGTCATTTGAATATTGGAAAATAAGAATAAATTTTCTTGCTCCTCGTGGCGTAGAAGGCAAATATTTTAAAATTTCTAATCGAGGTAAGTAGCCATTAGAGTAGTGAATGCTTAAAAAGCATATTTTAAAACGCCTAAATTAGTAATTTCTAAACTTTTTCAATCTTGTTTATCTTTTTTTATCTGTACCGATAGTCTCACAAGCACTAACAGAGTTATTACACAATTAAAACTCCTAGTGGAACGTTTTTGCAGAAGTCACAGAGATTGCTTTTACTGACACCATACTTTACCCAGGAGCACTTAGGGTCCTAGTCGGTAGACCGCGTCTCTTTCCGTGATACAGTGCCTGATGATAAATTGCCGAACAACGTCTGCTTAAATGGAGGCCTACGTTTTTTTCAGAACGACAAGCGTTGCTAATGCAGTTTTAAATGGTCTAGACAGTCTAGACCTCTATACAAGTCTGCTTCTACTGATAGAATTTTTTTGGCGTTTCGTTGTTGTTCTTCAGTTCCTTTTTTTATCTTAGTTAAGAAAAAATTGTTTTAAGCAGCGGTATGAAATTATACAGCAAATTTTAGCTCAAATTAAATCGTCAACAGCATTTCCTTTATTAAGTCTTTTATATAATTGCTGTTATGACCTCATTTACACTTAAATCTCAGTTTTGCAAATAAATCATTAATGAGCTTTTAAAAAGTATTATTTTTGCAGTTTTCAAAATTATAAATGTGTTAGTGGCAATGAGTTGTGGAAAACGGCAGTGCTTTAAGTCCTTATATGTGTTTCCTCCTCGGTTCTATTAACTTCATAAACGTGCTGTTGGCAGATGAAAAGTTGCGTTTTCTGGTTTGATGTCATCGCAAAAGAGTCCTTTTTGAATCCGAGCAATTGATTTACTTTATACAGTTTCAAAATAATCCCAATTTCAACTAAATAACAGCTTTAGCAACAGTTGAAAAGTGGCTTGTAAAATGTGGCAGTTGTTACGTACTTCTAACTGTGAAAGATCGTTGAGAATTGGTGAGACAGAATACTTTTTCTTTTCTAAAATTCAGAAATAAATTTTTTTTTTGTTCTTTTGGAACGTGCAAAAAAATACGACAGGAAAACGAAAAGTCTGCAAGTATCTCAATCTTTGTGAAGGCCATTCTCAAAACCTGTTAGTTTTCTTTTTGTCGGAAGGGGGTCATGGTTAATATTATTTGACGTTTTGATACGTCATAAACTACTTTTTTCGTTAAATTTAACGGCTTTTTTGTTTTAATTTTTTCATTGATGCATAGAAATTTTTAGTACTTACAGTAAAAAGGTATGTAAAATCACTAGGATAAAGTGAGTCATCTTTTTTATTATATGTTACACATTCGCCTCATTTCAAATGCCAAACAGCGGCAACAGTCTGAAGGACCTTCAGTAACGGTAGAATAATTTTAAAAAAAATTAATATAAGGTGTCTTTGGGTGAACATAACCTTAGAGAAACCTTAAGTTTAGTTTTCAATTTTATAATGCAATAAAGCTGTTTTCCTCTGTGCTTTGTTTAAGCAGTCATATTCATTTCACAGAAATAAGTTTGGTTTTCGTGATATTGCATATTTCCAGTCAATAGAATATGAAATGACCGAAAAGGTAGCAAATTATTTATGTTCGGTAAACGCTTGAAAATACTTATGTTCCACTAATTTATGTAAGGTTTTGCAGTTGTAAATGTTACGGAATACTGGTGAATTTGGTAGTTGGCAAAGACTGCTGGTAATATTGCAAAGTTTTCTGAATACTACCTTATTCCTGAAAATTTGCACTTATCAGCTTTCATAGCTCTTGGTGTTTCTGAAAACTAAAAATGACACTGACCATTTAGAGTTACCTGAAGAAAGTAACAGTAAGTTGATTATTAATCATAAGGAATTTACCACTGAGTGGTTAAGGCTGAATCCTTGAAGAGAGGTAAGCAACAATGCAGACATTGAACGCAATACAGATCAGATAATCATCAATGAGTGATAATAAGAAATTTTAGTGCGAAACAGCGGTAGCCGTTAATTGCTTTAAACATAACATCATTTATTTTCTGCTGAATGTGATAGACTAAAGTCGACCTTGATTACTGGAAGAACTGTTTTCTTTTTTTTTTGATTAGTAGTTACAGACAAGATTAAACAAAAATATTCTGCTTCATTAAAGTACGTATATCTTTTTTCTTTTTACAAAATGTGCTTTATTAAGCTCAGAATTTTTTTAGAATTAAGGAAAATGATGATAAGCGGAAATCCATTATGCTAAGTGAATAAATTTTTTCACATATTTTTCTTGAATTACATGCTAAAACTGACAGCTGTTTGAAAAGTTCACTCTGAACGATCGTTTCATCTAATCATTTCATACTTTTTTTTTCTGCTAACATTGATCTTAAATCGTTGGCCTTGAGATTGGAAAATCAGAGATGAAGTCTGCGTCATTTCGAAGCAGAAAATCAAAAAACTAACAAAAACCTGTTTTGTGCTCTTTCACCAATTGTTCAGCCAAAAAGTCGACAATAAACTTGTTCATTTTTTTGCAAATTTTTTCTGAAAACCCAAGTATCAATTTAACCTCATACATGCGTATGCTGTAAAAAAAAACGCGTAAAAGTAAAAGTTTTAGTTTCATAGCTTGATCTGTAAAGCAGATTTTCAAAGAGTCTAATTACTTTTTTAGAGAACGGCCAGTCAATAACGATACAATGAAGGTTATTTGTAAAGTAAAAGATGTCTTAGTTCACCCCAAAACTGGCTGTTGCTTATTATTCCTGAAAATATTCTCTGCAGTTTGGCCACTAGTTTTCGATGTCGACACAACGATGAGTTCCTGAATGTTTAAGAACATGAGGTTACTCATATACTCTTAGAGAAAAGACTTAAGTTGTTAGTGTCGAGACAGCGCTTACTAAAAAGTTGTAAGTGTTTTATATCTGCAGATCACACTCTCCATCGTATATTAGTTGTTAGTCAGCTGAGACTTGTTGGCAAGTTAGGTATAATTTGTCTAAGCCGAATAAAAAAAAAATAGAGCTACACTGAATTAGCAAAACAACAGTAAAGTAATTAATTACTCAAAACATTTCCAACCAACAGGTTGAATAAGTGCAGAGACTTGGCTTCTAAAGAGATTACCACATTTTATCAACGCTGATGTTCAACGATCATCTTATTGTCATCAAACGACGTTGGATATACAGCTTCAGTCGCTCTGCTACAATGACTTCACAGCAAAAATTATCGCAGTGTGATTTACGCCGGCACAGTGATCTATGGGCAGCGTTTTCAAATTTACATATTTTTTTCGTTCCTCTTTTTTTTTCTTTCTAAACTAATTTTCTTATC